GTCTTTAGAATATGTTCTCTCTCTAGATCAGTGGTTTTCTACTACCATCGTCCAGTATAGAATTCACAGATGTCCATCAACAATGTTCTTTATTGTGTAGTAATTTTTGTGGATTTATTTACGGAGTTATGTTCAGGGGACAACAAGAACAATTTAGTAATAAGTTGGTACACGAATTTATAATGCGAATTGTACATTGTGACAAAAATAATGAACTTTGGGTATGGTTAGATGACCATGTTGCCAGGTTTGGCATGCAAGAATTTTGCCTAATTATTGGACTACCTTGTCATGAACCATCCATTAAAATTGATTATAGTAACGATCGTCTTAGAGATCAATACTTCAATGGGATAAAAAAATTAGCAATACAATGCTTTTTGAAACTTTCCATATGTGTGAAGACGAAGAAGATAAATTTAAGTTGGGACTAATTATGTTGGTGGAGTGTGTGTTGAAATCAACTTCAAGACAAATTGATTATAGAACGTTGGGCATGGTTGAACATCTTAATGCATTCCATACGTCTCCATGGGGCCGTACTGCATATTTTGTTCTGTTAAATTCGTTGAAAGAGTTGCAATTGGAACGAATAGTAAGGATGCAACAGAACCAACAAATAGAATGTAAGTATGCAGTATAAGGCAATCCACTTTCATTTTAGGTATGTTGTTCCTATTCTAATTGTTCCCGTATTCCGTATAATTTCTTTGTAAAAAAATATATTATATAAATCGACATTTATCGGTAATTCTGTTGCAGTATTGGATATATGAAATATTTCCACAGATCAAGCAAAAGTTTGGACGCTTACAAAACGGCATAGATTCCATAAATGTACAAGTGGAGGCCTAATACAATACTGAAGGAAGCGATTGTTAAAAAAAATTTGGATACTGAAGAGGTATGACTTTTTAATTCCAACGTACAATGACATTCGCATTAAATTGGTAAAACTTGACATTGAAAAATTTGCTGAGACGAACTTGTTTACGACGATTACAGATCAAAATCCTTGCAGTGCTGCAACTTACGAAAGAAGAATTAAAAACACCGTGGTACTCAAATTTGTCACTGCCAACTGACAATGAACATAGTATACTAGATACCATTGTCAATGGAGAATTGGAGAATGTAGCACAACCATTACTGGATCACATCCGTGTGTAGCAAACGACAAGTCGTGGTACACCGAGAACTTCAATTGGAGCTGGGCCTAGTTCTGCTTCTGGTACCTCAAGATATGTAACTGAAAACCGTTTGGACGAAATGTTTGGTATGTACAGGTAGCATACAATATCAAATGTGTCTGATCTATGTGGCAACTTGAAGGCACACTTTGTTGGAAAATCAAGAGCCCTAAACCATGCGATCCTTAAAAACCAAAAGCTGCTATTCGAACAACAGACCAAATCATTGCAAGATTACATGCAACATGGGTTACATTTGTACATAGATAATTCTCTATCTAGTTTGTTTCAGAGTCATATGGCCCAGGAATCGCAAACACAAGAGGCCCATTATTAGGTAGTGCTGCGAAGACAAGAAGAATTATTCCAACAGCAATAAGAGTAAATGCAGTGTTATGTGGATTCTAGTTTATGTTCTGTAAGATCATACATTGACGAACATAATGAGATTATGTAGAACAGATTATCTAACTGGGAATCCATCATGGAAGCCATTATAGGTTTCATGCAGCAAGATGTCTTTCCCCATGCAAGTCCAAATATTACTGATCACCAACAGGAGACGTCAACGTCTCAACAAATCGAACATGCTGAAAGGTGGAGAAGAGAAAAGGAAAGGAATTATAGGTTTCATGCAGCAAGATGTCTCTCCCCATGCAAGTCCAAATCCTACTGATCACCAACAGGAGACGTCAACGTCTCAACTAATCGAACATGCTGAAAGGTGGAGAAGAGAAAGGGAAAGGAAGAGGAAGTACACACAGTCTTCATCATCGACAGGTCATCCCTTAGAAGACTACAACATGAAAAAATACATGACAATTAGAGATTTCATAGCGACAGATGAACTAGGGTAACAAAATTTACTCATTCTTACTAGTTCGAATGCTAAACATCATTACGGTAAAGCCAGAAATTATGTGTTGATTTATTTGATACTAATGTCAATTGTGTCATACAGTGCATACTTAGACGATGGCAGTGGGAATGTCTACGGAAGAGACATGTTGAGAACATTACTGGATCAAACAAAAGATCTGAATATTGCGGTACGGGAATGTTAGCAATCACAATCAATTTGATTTCGTAGTTAATATGTTTAATATATTTTACATGTGTTTATTTTATTAGCATATTGAGTTGGAGCTGAAGTTATTGAGGCGGTGTATGAATGAAGGTTTAGGGTAGATTGCCTATAAATAGTCGTCCATGGATGGGGTGCAAGTATTTATTAATTCCAAGCTCATATCCAGGCAATGAATATTATCTTTCATGGTCAATATTCCTGATTGGAAATTCCAGATATACGACTGCAGCAATAATGTTCACACACCAGATGCAATCAATGTACACGCAAACGCAACATACACTATGGTTTAAGGATTACTGCAATGTCCACCCATTTCTACTAGACAAGACATAAATAAACATATCAAGGAACGAATGAAGCAGGAGATTATACCTTATCTACTATGTGCAAACAATGGGTGAGCATTTCAACTCTTGTTATTTATTACCGTTGTTAAGTTCTCGTTTATGGTACAATACACTAACGTACAAGCATTTCTTGTATAGACCAAATTGCATAATGTTTGTACTCAAATATATAGAATGCTTCGTTCTGGGGCATCCGATAGAAACAGTTTCAGCGGACAGGATGTCACTATACGAAAGATTGCGGTAGATCTTTGTCAGAACGAGTACTTTCTTCATCCTAGACAGTGAAAACGACGTTCTGAAATTGGTAGCGGTTTTAGATAGATCAGTGGTCAAAGTTCACTTCTATTATTTGTAAGGTAGTTTAATTAATAGTTGCTCTGAAAGTCGTTAGCATTTTTGTTGTTGACATAATGATAAAAAATATAGCTTGCTTGCCGATATGGATGTGGAACTGTAGTAAATGTTTGAAAATGTAATGGTGGATGTAACGGTCATTTTTCCATTAAAATACACGAACAATGTGGCGCAAACATACACTTTTTCTACGCACTGAAATATCGAGATGACAATGGCAAAAAAATTAAAACCACACATAGAAATATTTCCAACGAGTGCAAAATGCAAACTAGTGTGCATGCTACGTTAGACAGAATGGTACTTTTGCCTGCAACAATAGGAGAGAAAACGAAAAATAGTTTCACGACTACTACGTTGAATTTCTAACAAATCGGATCCCAATCACGACTGCTGTGCCATGTAGTCCCAAGTCTGTCCTACTGACTCCGCTGCAAGTCCGATGCATTCATTTTGGCCTGCATCTCGTCACCCGCATTCAGCAACTCCACTTCTGCTACATCTTCATCCTCCGCTGCGCTCGTGAACGCCTCGTCCACCACTCCTGCTCGTCGGAGGAAATTATATATGCCCATCGTGACCACGACAATGGCAACTTTCGTTTGGAACGAGTAGCTAGGTACGTGGTCCAATATTTTTTATCTTTCTTTCCATACACCAAACGCACATTCAATGACATAGTCTCGCCTACAAGACTATGTCAACGGTAGATTGCCTATAATAGTCGTCCATGGATGGGGTGCAAGTATTTATTAATTCCAAGCTCATATCCAGGTAATGAATGTTATCTTTCATGGTCAATATTCCTGATTGGAAATTCCAGATATACGACTGCAGCAATAATGTTCACACACCATATGCAATCAAGGTACACGCAAACGCAACATACACTATGGTTCAAGGATTACTGCAATGTCCACCCATTTCTACCAGACAAGACATAAATAAACATATCAAGGAACGAATGAAGCAGGAGATTATACCTTATCTACTATGTGCAAACAATGGGTGAGCATTTCAACTCTTGTTATTTATTACCGTTGTTAAGTTCTCGTTTATGGTACAATACACTAACGTACAAGCATTTCTTGTATAGGCCAAATTGCATAATGTTTGTACTCAAATATATAGAACGCTTCGTTCTGGGGCATCCGATAGAAACAGTTTCAGCGGACAGGATGTCACTATATAGACGAAAGATTGCGGTAGATCTTTGTCAGAACGAGTACTTTCTTCATCCTAGACAGTGAAAACGACGTTCTGAAATTGGTAGCAGTTTTAGATAGATTAGTGGTCAAAGTTCACTTCTATTATTTGTAAGGTAGTTAAATTAATAATTGCTCTGAAAGTCTGTTAGCATTTTTGTTGTTGACATAATGAAAAAAAATATAGCTTGCTTGCCGATATGGATGTGGAACTGTAGTAAATGTTTGAAAATGTAATGGTGGATGTAACGGTCATTTTTCCATTAAAATACACAAACAATGTGACGCAAACATACACTTTTTCTACGCACTGAAATATCGAGATGACAATGGCAAAAAATTAAAACCACACATAGAAATATTTCCAACGAGTGCAAAATGCAAACTAGTGTGCATGCTACGTTTAGACAGAGTGGTACTTTTGCATGCAACAATAGGAGAGAAAACGAAAAATAGTTTCACGACTACTACGTTGAATTTCTAACAAATCGGATCCCAATCACGACTGCTGTGCCATGTAGTCCCAAGTCTGTCCTACTGACTCCGCTGCAAGTCCGATGCATTCATTTTGGCCCGCATCTCGTCACCCGCATTCAGCAACTCCACTTCTGCTGCATCTTCATCCTCCTCTGCGCTCGTGAACGCCTCGTCCACCACTCCTGCTCGTCAGAGGAAATTATATATGCCCATCGTGACCACGACAATGGCAACTTTCATTTGGAACGGGTAGCTAGGCACGTGGTCCAATATTTTTTATCTTTCTTTCCATACACCAAACGCACATTCAATGACATTTCTACAGGACGAGTGTCTGAAGTTAAACTTCTCCCGATCGTTATGAAATCGACGACGCCATCCCATGTGCTCATCGCGAAATTGTTGAAAGTGATACAGTATGTCCGAACCTTTGTAAGGGGCCATATACCCAGGCCGATGAGCAAATTCTAAGTCCACCAGATAGTACTTCCCGGGATCTGGGAGCAATAAATGAATGTCTGGTGAGTGGATGACACGCGCAAGTAGTCGAGCATCGTGTGTATTCCTAGTTTGCCCTACTAGCACAAACGTGAACATACATTGAAATCGGATGCGGCTAGGAAATTTTGGATCGGAACTCTTTTTCGTCCTATGAAGTGCACACTCTCGTTACGCGGTAGTACCACTCTGACATGGGTCCTGTCTATAGCACCAATGCAGTCTTCGAACAATGGGTGTTTTTGCAAGTCGGGCCTATGTGGCGACAAACCTTTGTTGTAGTTCTGACTCGGTCGTATCAAACGCGCTGACAGTGACACGATCACGCGTAGGACCTCTTTTACATAGTGACATATGATTTGTAGCAAGTGGTTAAACAACGTATTCACCTGACGATATTCCTTTCCGTGCGCTAATATGCACAGGAACATGTCGACTTGCTCGTATATGTCAACCTGCTGACTACTACGCAGGCTATGCTCATCCCGTAAAACATTTGCAAAGTGTCGCAGCATGGGGGGATACATACGAAATTCTTGAAAGCACATATGTCAATTCTCGCTCATTGCCTCTAGTATGAACATATGACTATTCCTTGCGAATGGAAATCGATGGATATTACGCCGCTGCTTATGATAGTAATTATGTGCGTCACTCCCAACGATTCTGTAATACAAAACCTATGCCATTGCATCTGCTGCCAAAGAAGCCAGGAAAAGGTTGTCGTCTAGTTCGCCCTCAGCCTCGGAATGTGGCTGCAGAACGCAATTGAAGTTACGATCATTCGTAAGGCCAAACATCGGGAACAATGTAAAAAGGACAGCATGTGTGATTTAAACAGTTGCAAGCACTGTGACCTCGTCACATCACTTCCAAAGCTCCTCACATTGCTTCGTCCCACTTGATCCACATGATTTTATAGAACATGTGCATCCCCAATACCATATCACATGCGCCTACTCCCTGGGGCCTGCAATTTAAACACAGCGATACTACATTTTTTGACCCAATAAAGTGCGTCGGGAACTGTGCGCATGGTGGAATCTGATTCTTACCTAAGTAGAGATGTGACATTCGCACAAACTGATAGAACAATGGTGTCTGCAAAATTATTGTAATCTCCCTCCAACACTAGAGACAATATCGTGCACACATCCTAATGATGTTGCCCTCATTGATGGTCAAGCTGAAAAATAAGCCAACTTGAATTATTATACTAACATGGCAAAGTCACTTCCATCTGAGTACTCACTGTACCAAAGGAGAATCCAATGATTCGCCAGTTTCGAATATGAAAATAAAGAAATTTTTTTCAAGTAACCTCATATGTACATATAATTGTAATTAGATATATGTTGACAAAGGACATACTTTTAAATTCGTGCAAATTTACATATTTGTTTGGAGTGAAATAAAATTAAGGATCAATGTGTTAGTACTGTTGAACGTACAGCCAAAAGAATACAAGCAAATCAAAGCACTTGAAGTGCAGGAAAGTAAAAGCAATCTAACACATGTTACAGTCACTTTTATCGTGTATCAAAATGTTGTTAAAGTGTAAGCTATTAGCAATATGTTTGGAAAAAGTATGGTCATGCGTTGGACGACAAAAAGTAATAGGAAGACATATGTCTTAAGTACAATTTATTCAATTTACATCAGTTTGACATTCGTGGCCGGGTAGGGGAAACTTTGGAACATGGCAACCTATGCAAGGGCAATTAGGCCACGAGGTTGTTCATGGAAAATTGTTGGTTTTTTTTAATTTTTGCTGTCTTAATTGAGTGCCCAACGCGGGAATCGATTCACCAGTATGTACCAGATTCGAAGCCATAATGAACAAATGGCTAATAATACATGAGAATATTACAACAGCTTGCGTACAGATAGGTCTCGAAAATGTAAAAGAAATAAAAAAACACACAATGACTGCCACAATTACTTCCCCAGGTCATTGAACATCCACTCGATTCACTCAAATTTCTCATCCATGTCTCTCATGACGGCGAGCATGTCACGGTACTGTTTATGGGCCAGAAGTTAGCATGCGTAAAAGTAAAGAGGTGTGCACTGCTGGAGCTAGCCTGTCGCTAGCAACTCTTCGACACAGTTCGCGCCAGCGCTTTCATTTGAAGCCATCATTATATGAATCTTCACCGCCACTTCTTCCGCTGCATTGGTGGCGCAGTCTACTGAGAAGGATAGTTCACAAGCATATATCTTTTTTTTTCCTGCCCCCTCCACTCCCCACTGGAAGACTTCCTTTTACTGCTGCCTGTGGTGCTAGAAACGTTCTCGCGGGCACAGACCACAGTTTGTTCGGCCTCGTCACTCGAACCACTACTTTTGTCGTCCACCGAGATTACATCCCTATTATCCTCAAACGCAATATCCTCGTACAGGCTAAATCCCATTCTACACAGCTTCGTTGGAGTGATAGCGTACTTGTCTGCATCATAGCTGTCGCCAAATAGCTGACGGTATTTTATGTATATCTCGCTAACGTCTTTGTCCTCGAAGTCTTTATAGACCACGTTCTCCTGCATAAATCGGGACCCAGAATGAGAGTACCGGAGGGAATCGCAATTCGCTATGTATCAAAAACACAAACAACTGCTAGAGAAAAATTAATATTGAGTACGAAGTAATGCTATTCTACACCAAACTATAGATATACCCATCACTGATGATGAAGCAAGTCTCAGATACTAAGGTGTCATGCAATAAAGAATCAACGCCAAAATTAATATTTCGATTTATAGGTTACACACATGAATTTGTATTCCTAGAAGTAGCACAAAGCATTCTGTATATTGTGTGACAAAACAAGTTCAATGAAAATGACATATAACGAATACCAGACGTTTGATGCTAGTCTGAGCATTAACCTAATGCAGCAGTGTTTTCATCTACACTCATAATACTTGCCATCAAAACAGAGAAAATTGAATATGAGTTAAAGGCTACGTAAGAACTATAATAAAGTTTTTTGGTACAATGCAATTCAGTTTTCAGACTAAGATGTCTGATGCAAATGTAAAGACACAGCAATGCACCGAAAAGGCAGTAAGCGGGCGCACTAATCGCTTTTGTAGGAAAACGGGTTGTTGAGAAATTGAGAATCCATTACCTTAATCTTTCGGTTCCACCATTCTTCAAAAGCAACGATTCGGCTGGTAGTGTCGTTATACTCGATTCCGCTGCTATTAACAAGCTCTGATAGACGCTTGTATGTTCGACGCATTGAATCCTAATGATTTTGCAGCTGTTGTCGGCTCCAATTATGGCCGGTCACTGAGTTGAAGAGTGAGCCAACCCATTCCCAGCCATGTTTGGTGAAACACTTCGCGTTCTGGTGCCTCTCGGCTATGGCGGTCTCGCACGCTGCAATGAAGGCTCGGTTGGTATCTAGGCTCCAGCGAGCATATGACTTGGCAACCGGCTGTTGTGACGTCTCTATCGCATGGTAGGAAGGTCCTCGAGCAAGGTGTCCTGCCTGCGAAGTGCAGGAGTTGGTCAATGGCGACGAAAATCGGGGAAAAGTGGAGGAGGAAAGGAGATTGCAGTATTCGTACCTCTTTCTCGGTGGGATCCATTGTTTGTCACCGGTACTGTGTCATTTTGGCGTCGTCGTGCAGCTGGGAACTGATAGGAATTGGTGACGGTTGCTATGGGATGTGTTCATGGTATGGGAAGGTGAAAGGTCAAGGGCAGTGCATGGGTTCTTTAAATATTCGACGAGTAGGTACACTGTTATCGGGTTCGGAGCTAAAGCTTGGAGAAAGAAAGTGTTGGTGGAAGGGGCATTGTGATGGAGAAAATGAAAATTTTATGTAATTTTTTATGCATGGTTGTCAGAAAAGTGGGTGGCAGGAAAGATAAAAAATTTATGTGCCTTTTTATGCATGCATTTGTTATCAAACAAGTGGGAGGGGCATTGTGAGGGAAAGAGAAAAAAATGGTTTACTGTATAATTACGCAGGGGTTGTCTGATAAGTTTCAAATAATTAATTTTGGGTAGGTGAAAATGGCTACCAAACAACCTCTAAATAGGTTTTTGCTAGATGGCAAGCTGTCTTATCAGTATTTGATTTTAAAAAGGAAAATGAAAGTTTCTTCCTATTTTTTTAACTCGTGAGTATTCGAAGGGCAAACAGTCATGTCCACTAAAAGAAGATAGCAATTTTGAAGGAAAGAGATGTTTACTAACTTGGATTGGCTAAGGTTTTTAGGCATGAGAACACTAATAGGAAGAAGTAAACAAAAGGAAACTTTTATTTCATAACTTCAAAACTTATGTACTTAACTTATTACAAAATGGACGGACTCTACCCTTTATATAGGATATACATGAAATTTCTAGACCACATACTTTTCTAGAGACTCCTAGACCACATATTTATATGAGACGTTTTGACCACATATTTGAACTAGATATTTTCCTAGAATATTCTAGATAGAGTTTCTAAACTCACATAATCTACTTGATACGTTATCACATTTGTCACCACATCTTTTGCTTAGATATTTACATAGATCTTTCTAGAAAATATTTATGGAAATTCTAGGCTTGTTAGGTTTTTTAATTGAATTGGACCTATGAGCAAAATCTTTAAGCCCATATTACTTTGTCCATAATCAAGTTTACTTCTCAACTTCCCCTTTAAACTTGATTTTGCTACTCCAAGTAGAGTTCTTAGCAGGTAGAACGCATCATGCTTGAGTGGCTTAGTAAGAATGTCGGCAATCTGCTTTGCAATGCTTTCTCTTATGAAATAATATCTTGTATCATTGTGCTTGTTTCAATCATGGAATACTGGGTTCTTTGCCAATGCTAGTGCCAAATTGTTATCAACATGGATTTCGGTCAGTTCATCATATAAGACTCCAAGTGGCTCCAACAAGTTTCTAAGCCAAATCGCATGGCAAACACTTGATGTAGATGCAATCTATTCAGCTTCACATGTGGATGGTGTCACGATTGATTGTTTCTTCGGGCTTTAAGTAAATACAATGTCGCCCAAGTAGAACATGTACCCAGTATTGCTCTTTCTACTATATCCGACAAGTTTGAATTCATTAGATGATGAATATATTAAGCCATAGTCAAGGGTACCTTTGATGTAGCAAAGAATCCTCTTTGCAGCTTTCGTATGGGTCATAGTGAGCTTCTCCATATAGTGACTGATGAGCGTAACTTCAAAGATGATACCTAGTCTTGTGCACATCAAGTATCTTAGACTTCCAACAAGACTCTTAAAGAGTATTGGATCCATTTTTTACCTTCATCATACTTCGATAACTTGGTTCTGCATTCGACAAGGGTGCATACAGGTTTACAGTCCGCCATGTTAAATTTCTTTAGAACTTTTTTCGCATGCCCTTCTTGTGAGATAAAGATACCATCCTCCATTTACTTTACTTCAATACCAAGCTAGTAAACCATGATGCCGATATCCCTCATCTCGAATTCTCGAGCCATGGCCTTCTTAAACTCAGTGATCATACTTAGATTATTTTCTATGAATATAAGACCATCTAAATACAAACGAACAAGAAGATATCTCTTTCTCATTTACCTGCGTGTCAAGGGCATACTCATGAGGGCATTTTGTGAAGTAATTTTCTAGAAAGTACTTGTTACTTCTACTATTCCATGCCCTTGGATCTTATTTCGACCCATATAAAGTCTTTTTAAGTTTCAATCCATCTGTACCACATCATTCCCCATTGGTTGAGAAAAATTCTCCCTGGAATTTTGGCGGAGAAGTAACGTTATCATTGGAATTATCACCATGAAATGGCACCAGATACTTGACATTAAAAACGTCGAGTGTATGAATATACTGGGCAGCTTCAAACGATATGCATTGGGATTAATCTGCTCAATGATTTCCAATGGACCAATTTTTATTACCACAAGCTTGGTGTATTCATGAGTAGGAATATGATCACTTGTTAGCACCGTACAAAGGAAGTCAACTACCTCAAACTCGACATGGTGACGTTTAAGATTCGTACCATGCTTATACTTAATAAGAGCAACCTACAAATGATCATAAGTCTGTGAATGAACCTGTGCAATTGTTGAATGAAACCCTTCGTTTTACCATGCATTTTATCAGTTTTAGAAATTGGAACCACATCAAGAAAACTACGAGGAATAGGACCATACACTACCTAAAAAGGACTAAAGCCTATACTTCGACTAACTGCATGATTGTGAACAAATTCTGCCTGACACAATTTTTGATCCCAAGACTTGATGTAATCAACAATTAAACAATGTAGTAAATTACCCAAAGAAAGGTTGATAACCTTTATTTGACCATCTATTTGAGGATGATATGCATTGCTAAATTCCAACTGTGTATTGACCAATTGCCATAAAATGCACCAAAAGTGACTAAGAAAATGAGTATCTCGAGGAAGTCCATGTAGACGATAGACCTTATGGAAATACAACAATGCCACACTGATAGTATCCGTAGTCTTCTTGCAGGGAATGAAATGGGTCATCTTGGAAAAACAATCAGCTACTACAAAAATAGAATCAGATCCATGCTGGGTCTTGGAAAGCCTCAAGAAGAAATCTATACTGATGTCTATCTATGGTTAGGTCGAAATAGGTATAGGCATATACAAACTAGCATTTGTAGCCTTGCCTTTAGCAAGATGACATGTTTGACAATGCACCACAAACATACCGACATCTATGTGCAATGATGGCAAAAAATAAGAAGCAGCAACAAGTTGTAATGTTTGATCACGACCTACGTAGCCCTCAATATGCAATTCTTGAATTATCTTAAGACATAAACATACCTCAGGAATACATAACTGATTTTCCTGAAACAGAAAACCATCGATCCACACAAACTCCGAATGCACACCCTTTTGTAACTTTTAAATAATTTGTGAAAATATGGATCAACGAATAGTGTCAAACACATGGGACCTCCACTCGCAATTCTATCAAAAGAGATTGTCGCCAACTCATTGCATCTATCACCTTATTAAGGGCACCTACTTTGTGCTTAATCACAAAAGTAAACTGCTACAAATAAGCAATCCAAGAAACATGCCGAACAAATACCTTATCTTGAGTACGAAGGTGTTTAAGGGCATTATGGTCAATATATAAAATGAATTCCTTTTGGAACAAATAATGACACCAATGTCGAACTGCATAGATATCGCATAGAATTCCATATCATAAGTACTATACCAAAAATTAGGGCCATAAAGTTTCTCATTGAAATATGCAACGGTATGATTGTTCTGGTTCAATACACCACCAATACCCATCTTTGAAACATCACAATGTAAAAATAGTTGAGTAAAATCAGGTAACACTAAAACTGGGGCAATTGTCAATTTCTTTTTAATCAATTGAAGAGATGCCTCTGCCTTAGGAGTCCACTAAAACTTGCCATCCTTCATATAATTTGTAATTGACACCATGATACTACTAAAATATGGTATAAACCTACGTAAAAAGAAGCAAGGCCATAAAAACTTCTCACTTCTATAATAATCTTAGGCTGTGGCCACTAACTTATTGCTTCTACTTTGGATATATCAACAGCTAACCCCTCTTTCTATACCACATAACTCAAAATTACAACAGGTCAGATAGAAAGGTACACTTCTTCACTACAACATAAAATTATCCCTATGAAAGATTGAAAGAACATTCTAAAGGTGCTCGACATGATCATCATTGTTAGCACTATAAATCAAAATAACATCAAAGTAAACTACAACAAATTTACCGATGAATAGACGAAGAACTTGATTCGTAACCCACATAAAAGTACTAGGCACATCATAAAGATTGAATGGCATGACTAACCACTCGTATAACCCTTCACCCGTCTTAAAAAGCCATTTTCCACTCGTCCCCATGCTTGATATGAATCTGATGGTACCAACACTTCAAATCAAGTTTACTGAATATGCAAGCATCGGCAAGTTGATCTAGTAAATCATCCAATTGAGGAATAGAAAAACGATAACGTAATGTAGTATTATTGATCGTTCTACTGTTCATACACATACGCCACGTGCCATCTTTCTTTGACATAAGGAGTGCAGGAGTAGCATAAGGACTAAGACTTTCCTTGATGTGCCCCTTTGCTAAGAGCTTTTCCACTTTTCTGTGCAACTTCTCATGTCAGTAGGGTTCATCCTATAATGCATCCGATTAGGAAAAGTAGCATCAGACACTAAATCAATCTGACACTAAACTAAATCAATCTGACACTAAATATCCCGTTGTGGTGGCAACCTATCTGGAAGATCTTTTGGGAAGACCTACTAAAATTCTTCTAACCACGGACGAATTCTGTAAGGGACCTCCTGCTAAATATCGACTAACTTGCCTACTAACACATACACTACACTAAATTCTGCCATCTTCGTCTCGAACTTCATTCAAATTAATAAATTGGTGATGTCTCCAACTGTCTTTAATGGGCTCTTATTGGGTAGGGACGCAATTTTCATTTCCCAAACAGAAAACTGTACATGTTAGTATATTCGCCATACAATGAGTGTCGATCAAGCAGCCAAGATCTCCCTAATAACAAATGGCATGCATCCATCTCCACCACATCACACAAAACCTGATCGTTGTAGGTAGATCCAATAGAAAAACTAATTAGGGCATGTTGGAATGCTTCAACATTGTTACCTCTCTTCAACCAAGCAACTTATACACTTTGGGATGTTTCGCTGTCTGCAAAACCAGTTTCTTAACAACCCTCTCAGCCACTAAATTCCCGTAACTCCTAGAATCAATAAGAAACTTGCAGATCTTCCCTCGAACAATACATGTAGACTAAAAGATATTATTACACAATCAGTCATTCTTACTCTCCAGGGGAGTCAACACACTTCGTCTCACCACCAACGCTTGACCCACGTCAGCAACAACAAATTCTTCCTCCTTCGTGCCTCTTTAGCGTCTCTATTATCAAATTCAGGTACCTCATCATAATCTCCATATCCTTCATCAACAAAGAGTCCTCTGCGCGAATTTTTGGGACATTCAGATTGTTTATGACCCATACATCCGCATGTGAAACAAGTACTACCTCCAGAACATATTGACTGTTGAACAAGAATTGCTCTAAAAGAACCAGCCTGACTAGGATTACTAGTACGTGTTGTCTACTGCTGTGGATTACTGGAAGAACCCCCTGTAGTGAAAGGACCTATATTTTGTCAGGATTGGTTTTTCTCTATCTATATCACCCTTTGATGCGCCTTAAAAACTATCACAGGATCAAACATATTCAGTATATCCTGTATTGTGGACGAAGACCACCCATATATCACAAAACCAATTGTTCCTCTATTTCCATCACCTCGTAATCAACATGTAAAACTCTGTCGTATAGTCATTAACCATCTTTATGCCTTGACGTAAATTTTACAATTGCTGATATATGGTCCGAACATAATTAAAGGGCAGAAAATGCTTCTTCATGTGCTTCTTTAAATTTCCCAAGACACAATTTTGGCCTTCCTTAATTTAGATCTCGTCACCTTTGTTTGCCATCAACATGCCATTGCTCATCTGTAAAATCTTGGTGCAACAAGAGGCACACGTTTTACCATAAAAACCTCCTTAAATTCCAAGACCTCTTCCACTGCAATCACCCAATCCAAGAATTATTTTGGACTCAATCCACCATGGAATTTGGGAATATCAACATTAAATCTTCATTACTAGCGCCCGTTTTCTTCCTCGCCACATTTTTTCCATCGGACTAGCAAATCTATTGGACGATCATGTAGCACAATGGATTTTCATCTTCAAAATCCTCGAGCGGTTGGACCAAAGGCACATGTTGTGGTGGCAAGATTGTAGCGATTTACTGGGTCAACAACTCCTCTTATCGACGCGACTGTGCGATCACATCTCGTCTATTCACCTTCTCTACTGGGGCTTCATGGGCTTCTAGACGTCTCATTAGCGGCGTGGTGAAGGAACAAACTTCGCTTTGATATCAGCTTATGTAAAGAAAGTTTATAGGAAAGATGAACAAATATCATAAAGATGAAAAAAAACTCATGAAAATTTTATTTCTTTCGATCATGCAGTCTCAAAGGCTTACAATGCTTTATATAGCGAAAACTCTAGGAAAATTCGAAAATAAATTAAATAATAATGAAAAAAATTTAAAAATGGAAAAAATTGAGATAATGGCTAAAATTGAAAATACTAATTTTTAGGATTATTCTCTAACAAACAGAATTCAAATCCGAATTTATTTGATTGAGATATAACTAAACAAAAATTATCGAAGAAGAAAAAAATGCATAAACAACAGACTTTGCCCAAATTGGCCTTGCGTTAGGGACAAAGCCACTGAGTCTTGTTTATTGGCTCGTTTCTAATCAAGT